CTCCTAATAGTCCTTGCATTAGAAACAGTTGCAAGTAATTCCAGGTTGAATCTGTAACCTGTAATTAAATCTTAATTTCTTAAGGATAGGAACGTTGTGGTCTCTCTGGCACCTTATTTAAATCGTGCTGTATAGTATAATAAAGTATAGTATAATTAATATGATTTTTTTTTAAAGTCTACACAGACCAAAGGTTTCAATCTATAACAGAACAGTGCAAGACTCTAATGATCACTGGGAGCCTTTTCAAACTGAAGCTTTTCAAACTGCATGAATTTTGTCAAATGTTTTTTACCTCTTTTTACTTTTCTCTTTGATGCATTGTATTCCTACATAGGGATAGTCCATTTACCTTGATATTTAACATCTAAAGAATCTGCATATGTATCAAATAATTTTCTGCATGAATGGGTTAAATAGCTTAAATAAATTCTAAAGAATATTTTGTCATTTATATAGAAATTAGACTAAGATATTTCAAGAAGTGTTTGTGTAGAAATGGCAATTTTTTAATTCATAAGCTCACGTATGAATGACTTTAAACTATTGGCGTACTTTTAAATGGCTGTTATCAGTTTTTTTCTCTAATAAAAATGCACTTGTATGCCCTTCAGTGAGAAACCAACTCTATTTGAGAGCCAATAGGAAGTGTCCATTAAAGCACACCTCACCAAATTCCTGAGCAATCAAAAAAACGCAAGCATTTGGTGCACCTTAAAACTGTTGCAATGTGAAATCAACAGAATCAAGTGCAAAATATACAATGTTACGAAAAAATTAATTTAAAAATCTGATATCGGTCTGTTTTTTCAGTTTGTCAGAATTCAGTGGCGGTGACATCTGTTGGATTTCTCCACACCGCCACACATTTATGTCGTGTTATGTTATATTCATCAGTTTGTGAGACATGCATTTTTGTTCTATTGTCTTCTCACTGTTTTCTCCATTTCCCTCTAAGGAACCATCACATCTTGGGTGGTAATCTTCATCCTGCCTATCAACAGTGCCTTGAACCCCATCCTGTACACCCTGACTACCAGCTTCTTCCGAGAGCAGGTGGAGCTGATGCTGTGCCAGTGGCAAAGACACTCCACCCTCAGAAAGGAACGGAAGAGCTTGTCCAGCTCAGTCATTGACATAGAAAACTCACGACGTCCATACTGCACACGTGACTTCGTGCCACGGACCTCCATCTTAAACTTTAATGGCAGTTTCAGATGAATTGCTGAGTATTCTGTGAGTTTATAAACTGATGGAAAAGAGGTTTGGTTCCCCAGGTGACGCTTGGAGATGTGCTGATACTGTACCTTGGTTTGGTTCTGCTTGACGTCGATCTGTATGTCGATCCAAGAAGTGAAAGCCAGCAGTGGATATGTACACAAAACCCGAGGCAACCTCAGCACGAACGAAGAATGGGACTTGTACAGGACAGACCACAACTTTACTAGACATGATATTCATGTACTCAAAATATGTTTTACAGAGATTCAGCAATCATTGTACTGAACAATGCTAGTTACCAAGCAACTAGCATCTTACTGAGTAATTAAATGGAAGGCATACTCCATAAAACATGAAGCTAAGCTCTTTTTCTACTGATACCTCATACAAGTTTCTCATAAGCATTGCGTTGCCATTAGTAAAGGCTACTATGAAATGTATAACTTTATTTAAATGTTCATAAAATGACGAAGTTCATAAAGCTGATACGCTGACAATGCTGACGAAGTCACAGTTACAGGTTAGATTTAACTGATATGTCATTATTTCAGTATACTCATTATTTTGACTTAATAACACATTATTAAGAGTTTTTATCTCATTATTTCAACATATTATCTTGAAATATTATTGCGAAATAATGACATAGCACTTTTTCCACAACTTGCATTTCAGGGCTTCTGTAATTTTTAAAACGTAATTTGAACAAAATTAATAAAGATTCATGTATTTGGCAAAATTGTCACATCTGCCCTGATCATGTCCTCATTGGCTTATCATATTCTGACCTTGTCCCTCCTTCTTTTTTTATGCCTCATTTTCCATATATGGTCATTGTTTCCTGTTCTCATTACCTTGCTGCCAAGGTTGTTAATTACTTTCACCTGCTGCTTGTGCTAATGGTCTGGTTTGTCTGTTTAAACCCTCTTGCTTGGCTTTTGAGTTTGTAATGTGCTGCATGTGCAAATCTGTATTACAAAGCAGTGGACTTCAGTCTTGTCTCTAGTCTTAGGTTTTCGATCTTTATCCCAGAGAACCAGTAGTTTGTGATGAAGTCATGATGGCTGGTGGTTTATGGGTTACTCTGCAGTGTTGCTGAACTGGGATGGATTCCTGTCTGGTGTACAGGCTCTGATTCCTGGATTAATGCTAATAAATATGCTTTTAGTATGTATCTGCGTCCTGTGTCCTGCAACTGTCCTCTGTCCAGTACCGCATGGTAAAGATTTTATTTAGATATATTTGTTGCGTTTAGTGAAGAACTTGAAACATGCCCGTAATCTCTTTAAAAGTACAGTGCGTGAAAGTATACTGTACATTTCAGAAATCTGTTTTAGTATCTTTGAAGCTGTTTTCTTTTTTTTTTTTTAAATTCATCCTAGCTCTGTAATGTATTTTTGGAATGTTGAACTACACGAGTTTTTTTTTATGTTGTATGTTTATTTGTTGCTTATTTATACATGTAACATATAATACATAATAATGTACATAATCATAATGTCTCGCAATGGGCAATCTTATTCATCCCTGTAATGAAATCAGCTACAAATAATTTTTTTCAGGTTTTCATTGCTTTGACATCTCAATTTCCAATAACAATATAATATTTGTTACATTAAAAATTTAAAACATACAGAGCAAATAAAATGATTCATATATATATATATATTTTTTTAAGTCTAAGCATTACTTCATAGTGTTTCCATGCTAGCTCACGTTATTACTGAACACAGCGATGTTTGGAATCATGGTACTATTTGGAATTCCATTCATAACTAGTGTATTGTTTCCTTTCTACTGACTGACAGAGATAGTGACAGGTACAGTGAGTGATAAATAGCAGCAGGGTCATGAGGGATTAGATTTATCTAGAGTGAGCCTGGGTTAGGACTCGTTGTCTCAGTGAAGGAACAAAAAAGCAGTAATAATTGGCATCTCGGTTGATGGCCCACAGGTATAAATGGACTAGCAGGGCTAAAATATATAAAAATAGGATCAGTTTTTGGCATCCATATTGGCTTACTGTATTTGCTGTTAACTAATTGTTTAAATTTCTTTTTTATATATTTTTGAGAAACCAAGAACACCACCCCCACCAATTGGTCATAAGCAAAAATACATAGAATAGTATGAAGTAGAGGCTGGGGCTGATTTCTTTCCAGCCCACAGTGTATATTCATGCAGCCTATCAGTGACAGTCATGTCAGGTGATTACACTTCATTTTGTGTGCACTGAGGTTAATTTATTTAATTTATCCTGCCTCACTGACACATCCATAACACATCAACAGTGACTGACAAGATGCATGTGATATATACCGATCAGCCATAACATTAAAACCACTGACAGGTGGAGTGAATAACATTGATTATCTCGTTACAATGGCACCTGTCTAGGGTGGGATATATTTAGCAGCAACTGAACAGTCAATTCTCGAAGTTGATGTGTTAGAAGCAGGAAAAATGGGCAAGCGTAAGGATCTGAGCAACTTTGACATTGGCCAAATTGTGATGGCTAGATGACTGCATCAGAGCATCTCCAAAACGGCAGGTCTTGTGGGGCGTTCCTAGTATGAAGTGGTCAGTACCAAACAAAAGTGGTCCAAGGAAGGACAACTGGTGAACCAGAGCCAGGATCCATCGGCTCTGTGTATTTTCTCTCTCTCTCTTTTTATACTTTTTACTGTTTCTGAAAACACACAGCAAAAAACAGTTAACATCCAATTTGACTATAGAATATTCTGCTCAGACAATGAAGAGGTGGAAGAAAGGATACAACAAACAAGAGGCAAAAAAGTGTGCATCACAATCTTCAGACTTCCTTCAGATCTTAGTCCTGATGTACAGTCTATCATCACAGACAAAATCATACATCACTCTGACGGAACAATGAATTATGGCAACGAGACAGAAGTAAAAAAAAAAAAAAAAAAAGGACAAGAACTAAAATGTTTACACAGTGAGAATTTTTCAAAACCAAACAACTCAAATCTTTACTCCCATGTAGTCTTTTTTTTGTTAGTCTGTCTACTCGAATGTCTTTTTTTTCCACTAGAACTCATGAATCTGTGATAATTTTGCATTGATAAATGTGTCACATCTGGCTCTGGTGTATCATTACTGAGGCATCAAACCATTGTTGGCTGTCACGGTCGCTGAAACAGCCATCCAAATAAGAATGTGAGATTGCCCTAGTCATCAAAAATGAGTCAGCGTCTGAACTCTGCACTCAGGTAGTGAAGATTGGAGTGAAGGCCCCTTCAGGGAAACACACCAGTCACTTAACTGTCAGAAAGAGTCAGACTATACAGACTATAATCGTCTCATTCTGCCATGGTTTCTTTTTTATAGGCACTTTTATTTCTAGGTTAAAAACATACCTATTTGCTCATGCTTTTGGGTCTGACTGATCCCTTCTTTCTTTTAATCTTAAATCTTTTTTTCCCCAGCTCCCTATTAATCTAATCAATTTTATGCATTATTATTATTATTATTGTTATTATTCCATCCATCTATTCTCTGTAACGCTTATCCTACACAGGGTCGTGGGGGAGCCTGGACCCTATCCCTGAGGACTCTGGGCACAAGGCGGGGGACACCCTGGATGGGGTGCCAATACTTCACAGGGTACAATCGCATACACGCTCACACACCCATTCACACACTATGGCCAATTTTGAAATGCCAGTCAGCCTACAACACAGGTCTAGGGGAGGAAACCAGAGTACCTGGGGGAAACCCCCAAAGCACGCGGAGAGCATGCAAGCTCTGGGCACACGGGGCAGAGGTGGGATTCGAACCCCCAACCCTGGGAGTTTGAGGCAACAGTGCTAGCCACTAAGCCACTGTGTGCCCCCATTATCATTATCATCATCATCATCATCATCATCATTATTATTATTATTATTATTATTATTATTATTATTATTATTATTATTATAATAATTATTATTATTATTATTGCTATTGTTATTTCTACTACTTCAATTTATATTATTATATTTTACTTATTTACTTATTGGCTTTCTCTTAATAATCTTTAGAAGTAGTTAGTCCTTTGAATTACAGCATTTTGGTCAATGAACTTTTTTAACTGTTCTGTATAAACACATTTGGCTTGACTTGTTTTAGAAAGCAGGGCTGTGTTCTATGAGAACGAGTCAGTTCTTTGATTCGGCTCTTTGAGTCGGCTCTTCGAGGTGAACATAGGGAGTCGACTCACTGATTTAAAGAGCCGTTTGGGTCATTGAACAGTCAAGACATAACGGGCAGAATAATCGGAATAGTTTATTAAGAGTTTGATGGGAATAGATAAGGAAGGTGTATGGGGAAAATTCAGAGTAAAAGTAGCCTTTTAATCTTTTGCTTTAAACTTATATGTTTGTATTTTCTATATTCTTATGAAACTGGGTGTTTCTGTTACTCATTATGGTATACCTAATAAACTGACAAGCCTTCTTCAGGGTATAAAGTGATAATATTTAGTTAGGGTGTAGTAGCAGGTGGGAGATGGAGGAGGATGAGAAAGAGGAGGGGGATGAGGAAGAGTAGGATGAGGAAGAGGAGGAGGAGGAAGAGGAGGAGGAGGCGCGCGGCGGGGGCGCGCAGTGCCGCGCTCATGGCCCAGTTGCGTCGGAGCCGCAGCTCTAAGCGCGCACGAGCTCTATGGACTCGGACCAACCCATCAGACCAGAAGATGCTGTAGAGCACGTTTTCTCCTGCGGTAGGTTTCATGTTTATTCCATGTATTACTGAAAAAATGATCGCAGTGACGCGATGGTGAGGCTGCAACCTGTTGCGCACTTTCAGTATTTCATTACAGCTGCAGCATCCTAAATATAGAGACAGTAGATGCATCACCAAGTCTGGTACACACTTTAACGCATCCCTTTCTGGGTCTGGCTTGTGCAGCATACAGTACATGAAGCTGTTGCTTTAGTGTTTGTGAGGTTGAAGAAACTAGACGTAGGTGAATTTCCCTCGTAAATAAGGCAAGTATACACTATAAAAGCCAACAGGAGCTTTCTCACTTGGTTAATATTTCACCGTTTATCTATTTTAGAAGGTACAGAGCCCTGGCTATAACAGCAACCCACTTCCTGTAACAGATTAAAAAGTATTGCAGGTGTAACTGACCAAAAAAAGGTTGAAATGAATCATTCTCTGCTGTGCATTCAGATGAATCACATAAGTTATAAGATTGAACTTTTCCTAGGAGCTACATAAAGGCATATTATATGAAAGAATTTAAACTTCAGTAGAAGTCACTCTTAAAATGAAGCATACTTAATTAACACAAGTGTATGATGTAGTGGTGTAGCTTCTAACTGACCTTTAGGGCTATAAATATTTACTAGCCCTTACATGTGTTTATATGGAAAGTTGTATATGGAAACTAAATGTTGAGCATCAACATGGAACATATTGGAAACCCAAAAACTAGATCGAGGTGAAGTTTGAGTGTGTTATGTAAAATGATAATCCATATTATTAATGGTTATTGCTTTATTCAATAGAAATGGTGTTCTTGTTTCTCAGGCAACCAGATATGTGTGTTTAGTGCTCCGCTATAAATATGCGTGTGTGTGGGCTGATAGCAGTGCTGATACCAAGCATTTACATAATCGTGTTCCTCCTCTGTCCTTTATTTTGCAGTGTTATTTTTCGTGTTCATCCGCCTGCACAAATTTCCACTGAATCTCTTGGTGCTGCATGAGTTAAAGCTTCTAAATAATCCGTAGGCCTGTTCATGTGCGAGTCTATAATGATGACACACACACAAAAGTTACACAGCCCCGGTCACATAACTGTAGCGCGTCATGTCACTTGAGTCGGGTTGACACCCGTGCAAAGGTGTAATCTCCTTTGTTTGTCTGGCTTATTTCCTTTTCCTGTCCAAAAATGGATGGACAATGAGCGCTTGTTATGCGTATCAATGACCGATGCAAAACGAACATAATCACCTGGCTGTAACTGGATACTCGGCAGCAGAGCCTAAGATCAAGACAGGCTTTGCACCTGGTTCCCTGTGCTGCTATTGGCTAATGGACTTGATCTCCTCCTCTGAACAGTCACTCTGCGTTTGCATTTGCTGAAATGCATGTTGGCTCCTCCTTGAACTGTTGACGGACAGATGGTTTTGGGGACAGGTGCAGAATGAGGACCCGACTACTCTGAAAGCCCTCATTATCAGTGAAGCAGAAAGCACTAGCCCTTTGATGGGGAGCAGTCTCAACTCTGGGAACATAGTACCCCAGTCCATGTCCCTTCAGATTTCAGGACTAGTTTCAGAGCACTGATGGCTACTCATGATATTAGATGGTAGAGCTAAACTCTAATATCTGTTACTAATTCCACAATTAAGACATTAGAGTTGAGCAGTTCATTATATCACACAGTCTCATCTATGACATAAAAACACATACTTAAGGACAAACATATTTAAGGACAGATAGTCAGCAGCATTCATGATTTCTAATTTATTTAAGTGTTTCATGTCTGTAATGCTCTACTGGGTTCATGCCGTTTCCTCCAAATAACAAACATTCAAACCAAAAAACATTAGACTTACTGTTCTTTCATCTGTTCTTTTGTGTAACTTGTATCAATGTGTGCTTAGTCTATCTAGGTTTGATTTTCCCCTCCAAAGAAAAAAAAAGGATAATAGAGTAAATATTCCACCGTGTTCACGTTTATTACACCCACAACTGTATTTCACACGCACCTTTTCAGTCACTGCTGATGACGTGTTATGGATGTCAGCACAGTGTGCTGAACCATATCAGATCAAATAGAGATCAAATCTAGAGGCTGTTCCTTTCCGTGTAATTATCTGATACAGCTGTCGCTGATAGGCTGCATGAATCTACAGTCTGGGCTAGAAAGAATTCAGCCTCGCTTATGCATATCCTTCTGTCTATTTTTTATTTTATTTTATTTTATTTTATTCACAACTGTCGATGGTGCTGCTGCATGTTAACGTTTTAGGGCTCCTGTTTAAAAAATAAAAAAGCAAGATTTTGAAAATAAAGTTGTAGTATTTAGAGAAAAAAGTCGTAATATCTGACGTAGATGCACATGTAACCATCAGTAGCCTTGAAGGTGACCACTGTCTGCGATTTCTCCTTCAATAAAAGAGACAATAACTTCAACCAAATTCTCAGCTTACCTCATTTTAACACACAACCAGTGCTCTGTACTATTTTGTCATAGTATTATTATTTATTCTCGAAATAGTACAACTTTTTCCTCTTAATATTATATCCTTTTTCTTCATTACTTTACTTATTAACTTATTGCTTTACTTATTAACTTATTAACTAATTAACTTATAACTTTATTATTTATGTTGCGACTTTTTTCTCTTAATATCAGATATTAAGTTTTTTTTTCCTCAAAATATTACAACTTTATTCTCAAAATCTCTAAAATGTCCAAAAATTCCATATTAATACATGTGGATGCCAAAAACTCCAACCATATGTTGATGTTCTATTTTTTTTTAATCTTTGAAGGGAGCTTAGCCCTACTAGCCTATTTATACCAGCCGTACAGGTTTATTTGATATATTATAATACTGTCAAAATTGCTGTTATATGCAGAGATACAATGGTGAGGCTGCAACCTGTTGAGCACTTTTAGTATTTCATTACAGCTCCACCATCCTAATGTAGAGACTTGTGCTCACTTTAAAGCAGCCTTTTCTATTTTCTGTGTCTGGCTTGTGCAGTATATGTGAAGCTCTGGGTTTTACTGTTTGTTTTTGTTCAATGAGAGAGTAAAAAAGGAAGGTGTGGGTGAATGTTCCTCTTGGTTCTAACAGCGAATATATATATATATAACAAAAGTCTTCTTCATTCTTCATCCTGTAATAGATTAAAAGTATTGCAGGTGTAACTGCCCCAAAAAAAGGTACAAATACATCATTCTCTGTTGTGCAGTCAGATGAATCACATGACTAAAAATTTCCTGAGATACCTAAAGGCATATTATAGCAAAACCTCAGAAATAATAACCATATGCCACACTTGTCACCTCATTTTAAGTAGACTTAAAATGAAACATACAAATGTGTTTGATGTAGTCGTAGTGCCTAACTGACATTTAGGGCTATAAATATTTACTAGCCATTACATGTGTTTATATGGAAATTTATATGTAACTTGCGTCAACATTGTACGTACTGGAAACTGACCTCAAAAGCCAGATGCCAGAATTAAATCCAGAAATAGAAGCCAAAACATTAAGCCATGTATTGATGCCTTTTTATCTTTGAAAGACAAGGTGGTTTAGCCCTGCCTTTCTTTTATGAAATGTTTCAGAACAGTTCATAAAATGTAACACAAAGTTCTTTCTGATGGTCCAAAATGCATCATTAGACTCCTATGACTGCTCATTTATTACAAATTAGACATGCGTGCATTCTTCAGACTTCTGGCAGGTAGGTGTGTGTGTGTAAAAAGATGGAGGAGGTGGATATTTTCACACAGGAAAGCAGTAAAAGGGGTGTGAGCTCCATATGGCATCTGAGACAGAATAGGCCTGCTCTGCTGATGATCTTAGAGACTGATATACCATAGTGCTGTTGAATTCTCAAATCTGATTGGGCAGAAGGTGTTGATTAATTGTCCATAACAGAAGCCCTGACTGTAATTCAAATCACAGGTTTATATTAACGCACTCATTTTAATACACTGAGGTTTTCATAGTACAACTCAAGTAACAGGGACTTGTATGGTGGATGCTGCACATAATAATAAATGGATAAACAAAGATGATATAATGGTATAATCGTTGACATGGTGAAGTTTTAAGGAAACATTTATTTAGCAGTTATGGAAGGATTCTCAAGTGT